GACTCCCTCACAGCTTACAAAGAACTCGGGATCTCGCTGCCCTTCGTGGCCCCGTTGCAGCCCTTCCTGGCCCCCTCGCTGCCCTTCGCGGCCCCGTTGCAGCCCTTCGTGGCCCCCTCGCTGCCCTCCGTGGCCCCGTTGCAGTCCTTCGTGGCCCCCTCGCTGCCCTTCGTGGCCCCGTCGTAGCCCTTCGTGGCCCCCTCGCTGCCATTCGTGGCCCCGTTGCAGCCTTTCGCGGCCTCCTCGCTGCCCGTCGTGGCCACGTTGCAGCGCTTCGCGGCCTCCTCGCTGCCCGTCGCGGCCCCGTTTATACACGCCCTTCGTGGCCCCCGCTCGTTCGCGCCCGTCGTGGCGCCATCCGCATGCGCTTCGTGGCCCCGTTGCAGCCCTTCGCGGCCCCCTCGCTGCCCTTCGTGGCCCCGCTGCTGCCCTCAGTGGCTGCCCCGTCCTTGCCCCCTGCGGCCCAATGTACGCATGCCCTTCGTGGCCCCCGCTCGATCGCGCCCGTCGCGGCCCCGTGTGCATGCCCTTCGTAGCCCCGCTGTCGCCCTTTGCGGCCCCCTCGCTGCCCTAATTACGTGGCCCCGTCGCTACCCTCAGTGGTCCCGTCGATGCCTTTCTGGGCCCCCGCATTATCTATCCTTCGTGGCCCCGCTCGTTCGTGCCCTTCGTGGCCCCGTGCGCATGCCCTTCGTGGCCCCCTTGCTGCCCTTCGCGGCCCCATCACTGCCCTTCGTGGCCCCGCTGTCGCTCTCGCTCTCGCTCTCGCTCTCGCTCTCGCTCTCGCTCTCGCTTTCGCTCGTCGTCGTCGTCGCCGTCGTCGTGGTCAGTCCCCTGTCCGTCCCTCTTGAGGTCGGGCTGCCGCCGGTCAGCGATGCCCCTGGCCAGGCCGACGGTGCGCGGCCGCCCACCGCTTGCCTGGGCCCGGCCTGCAGGGAAGAAAGATGTATCCCCCAAGGGGGTACGATCGACGACGAAGAGAGCGAAGAGTCTCAACATGATTGTTGCTATTGTTGTTATTGTTGTTGACCTCTCATTCCCGAACACATCATTATTGTTGATCCCCCCTCCAATAACATAGTTGCTTGTTCAAATGAAGTGCCCGTCCCGGGGCTCGTACCTGGCTGTACTAATCTGGGAAGTTCTTCCTCCTCAAACTGCGCCCCTGGCCCCTGGACTAGAACAACAACAGCTCCCGCCATATATTTCCTTCCGATTTACTGAGGAATCGCGGATTGCGCTCTCGCTAAGGACTTCCTGGCAAATTATACAAGAATCACGCTCTCGCCTGCGACTTCCTTGAAATTTATCCTGGCGCGACGCCCTCGCCATTCAGCGTCAGGAATCGCGCTCTCGCCTGGGACTTCCTCACAGTTTACTTCGGAATCGCGCTCTCAACCGAAATTTCCAGGCAAATTATGCAGGACTCACTCACTCGCGTCACACATGTGTTTTTTTTTCACTTGAAGTGCCCCTCCCGGGGATCGCTGTGTTTTTACTTGGGAAAATATTCATGCTCAAACTGTGTTTGCTTGCATGCATACATGCATGCATGCATGCATGCATGTATGTATGCATGCAGGTATGTATGTATGTATGTCTGCATGTATGTATGTATGTATGTATGTATGTATGCATGTATGTTTGTATGTATGTATGTATGTATGTATGTATGTATGTAGGTAGGTAGGTAGGTAGGTAGGTAGGTAGGTATGCATGCATGCATGCATGCATGTATGTATATGTGTATGCATGTATGTGCGTATGTATGCATGGGCGTATGTATGCATGCATGCGTGCATGTAGGTCGGCTGGTATACAGTGCGTGTATATATATATATACACATCTAGACATAGGTACATACATGCATACATGCATACGTCCATACATACACATACGCATACATCTACACATATGTTCGCACCCTCACTCTGATATACACACATGCGCACATGCATCCTTACATGCATACGTATGTACATGCACACATCAGATCGACTGCCCCTGGCCTGGGGCAGTATGTACCAGCTCGAGGGGAGGTAGGGAGGATCCTCGGTCCTCGATTCTCCCCTCCGAGGTTCGAGCATCGAGCATCGAGGACCGGGGTTCCTCGATACTCAAGCCTCGGTCCCCGATCCTCCCCTCGATCCGTTCCTCGATGCTCGAGCCTCGGTCCTCGATCCTCCCCCACGATCCTCCCCGATCCTCGATCCTCGCCCTTCATCGACCCTACCCCTCGATCTTCGATCCCCTCGCTGCTCGAAGCTCCCTCGGGCTGCCCCCCCTTCCTCGCCGCCGCGCCCTCCACGACGCCGTCGGCCGCGGAGGCGCGTATGCCGTCGGTCGTCTGTCGTCGGTGGTCGGTCGTCGTCGCCGTCGGTGTTCGGTCCTCGGTCGTCGACCGTCGACGTCCGTCGCCGTCGCCATCGCCGTCGCCGTCGCCGTCGCCGTCGCCGTCGCCGTCGTCGTCGTCGTCGCCGTCGCCGTCGCCGTCGCCGTCGCCGTCGCCGTCGCCGTCGCCGTCGTCCCCGTTCACGCCCCGACCCCCACGAGGGGCCAGCACGGCGGCGCCGACAGAAACTGGAGGCCTGGAAATCGGCACCAGCACCAAGACACGGGGCTGCCTCCACAGGGGGGAGATGATCCTAGACTTCGAGATCGGGATATTTCCTCCCTCGCTGGAGGAACACCACCGATATTGGTGTTGGTGTCAACCTCTAATGCGGGATGACGATAAGTAAAAAATGGGAGAGAACGATCAAACAAATAGTTTCGTGCGATTTCTGCACAATTTTCTGACTGGGGGAGAACGAAAAACAAATCGTTTTCCAGCCCGCGGCCGGTTTCTTCTAATCGTCATCCCGGGCGCCGCCGCGTGAACACGACCCCCGGTCATCTATTAGTCGCCATCCTCCATTAGGCCTGCGAAGAAGGCCACGGCCCCTACAACCGGGGCGTTGACCTCTACAATCGGGGCGCTGACCTAAGGAACCCTAAATAAGGAACGAGGCCCCTTTTTTTCCATGAGTCAAACTTCGACTTCCCACCGAAAACATCAGGAAACCCTGAGGCAAGCTGTGAAACAATGAAGGAGCACGGAGCCCCTCCGCAACGAAAAGGGTTCCCTCTTCAGCGCACCGACTGTAGGCCTGCGAAGAAGGCCACGGCCCCCGTGGGGCAGCCGCGGGGGCGCGGGCCCGGGGCGCCGCCCGCCGCACGCCGGCCGGCCGGGGCGCCGAAGGGGGGGCCCGCCGGCGGAGGGAGCGAGAAGGGCGCGGCGGAGGCCGCAGGGCCCAAGGCCGCAGGGCCCTCGGGAGTGCCTGGGACCTGGGGAGCTTCGGCGAGAAATAAAACAAAAATCGAAGATGCCCCAAAAATGCCCTCGGGAGTGCCTCGGACCTGGGGATCTTCGACGAAGGATTTAAAACATACGCCCCAAAAATGCCCTCGGGAGTGCCTCGGACCTGGGCCGAAGTCGGGCGTGTCCCCCATACAGGGGGGATCTTCGACGAAAAATAAATATCCCGGGAAAGCAACCCAACAGCGATGTGTAGGAGCAGATCTGGAAGCATTCCCCTTAAGATTCAGATGAGGATCCTGTTGTAGAATTCTGCTGTTCTCGCAATCGTAGTCGCATTCGCGATGGCAGTCGCAGTGGGATCTTCGACGAAAAATAAAAAACCCAAAAATGCCCTCGGGAGTGCCTCGGACCTGGGGATCTTCGGCGAAAAAATTGAAAAACAAATACCCCCAAAATACCCTCGGGAGTGTCTCGGACCTGGGGATCTTCGACGACAAATAAAAAATCCCCCAAAAATACCCTCGGGAGTGCCTCGGACCTGGGGATCTTCAAACAAAAAACAAAAACAAAAAAAACAAAAACAAAAAAAACAAAAAAAACCCTCGAACGTGCCTCGGACCTGGGGCTCTTCGACGACAATATATATATATATATATATATATATATATGTATATATATATATGTATATATATATATATATAAATATAAATAAATAGATACCCTCGGGAGTGCCTCGGACCTGGGGCTCTTCGGCGAAAAATAAAAAAACAAATGCCCCAAAAATGCCCTCGGACGTGCCTCGGACCTGGGGATCTTCGACGAAAAATAAAACAATACCCCCAAAATACCCTCGGGAGTGCCTCGGACCTGGGGATCTTCGACGAAAGATACCCTCGGGAGTGCCTCGGACCTGGGCCGAAGTCGGGCGTGTCCCCCTCCAGGGGGGATTTTCGACGAGAAATAAGAAAAATACCCCCAAAATAATCATAACAAATTCAAGAAATGCTCAAAACATAGTCCCCAGACTATCAGTTGATTATTTTTCGGCTATTTTGGGGGTATTCTTTATTTTTCGTCGATAATCCCCCTGTAGGGGGACAGGCCCGACTTAAGCCTGATCTATCAGCGTTCGTGGGATTTTCTTTGCTGGGGGGGGCAGTTCTCGCTGGCTCTGTTATGTCTGCTGATGAAGGCGGTCTGCCGAGCGCCAGAGCAGTGACAGAGAAATTCTCTCGATCGTGCGTCTCGGGGCCGGCGCAGCAACAAGATTATGACGAAGGCTCCTGACTGGATGGAGGCACCCGTCTATCAGCGTTCCTGGGATTGGGGACTATGACGCCGCTGGTGAATGGTGGCCGCGCTGCGAAAAATGCCTTGACCTTGCATGTTCGGTTGACCTTCTCTGTCCCATCGCGTCAGCTATCCGTGTCGAATCCGTAACGAATCCATGTTCACCAAGTCAAACCCGCGTCGAACGACGTCGAATCCGCGCCAAATGCGAGCAGAAACCGCGTCGGACCCGCGTCGATACAAGAAAAGACCGCAGTTAGCAGACCAGACAAAGTCCCCCGACGATGCAACGCAAGATGTCTGGGTCGTGGGTCCTCGTCGCGCAGCTTGTCTCTATAACTAGGAGTGTTGTAGCGGCCGAAACTGCACCCGAAAATCCGCCCGAATGTGATCGACATCGGCGCCCGATTTTTTCCGAACGCGCCACAATGTGACGGGACGTCTTTGGCCGAAACCACTGCTGTCCTCCTGGGAAGGGCCCCGGGGCCCGAGGCTCATCACACAGCCCACGTTCGGAGGGCCCTGCGGACGCCTCCGGGAAAAACGAGTGCTGGCTGCCAGCCGCGCTGGCTCGCTGTACCGCCGCCTCGATCGGGCGCTCGGGCGCGCCGGAGGGGGGCAGCCTTGAGCAAAAAAAGACCAGAGGCGGACGTCAGGGCCCCGTGAGCCAGGACACTGCTGGCCAGGACCCTGGAGATTCTGCCTGGAGAGAACAGAGGGCGGGGGCTGCTTCGCTTCGGCCCACAGCCGCAGCTTTCTCGGGCGCGCCGCTTTCCTGGCTGATCGCAGCCCGAGATTTCGGGGGCTCCCAGAGCGTGTGGTGACGGACTGCGTGGTGACCTCGGAATTTCCAACGACCTCAGCGCGCGGTCCGTCACCTCACGGCTTTGGGACCCTGGAGGCCCCGATCGTCCTAGACGTCCTCGGAGAACGACCAGGGCCGCAAAACCGCGCCACGACCCCCAATCCCCACTGACTCACCACGCGGCTTCGCCACCGCACGGCTCGGGGCACCCCGGCATCTGGCAGGCCCCGAGGACGCCTCCGGGAAACCGCATGCCGACCGCCCGCGAGCGCGACCGCTGCCTCGGTCGCGTGCTCGGGCGCGCCAGCGGGCCCGCGATCCGTCGGAGCACTCTGGCTTCCTGGGCGAGCCGGAAAGAGGAGGAGGATGAGGAGGAGGAGGAGGAGGGGGGGGAGGAGGGGAGGAGAGGAGGAGGAGGGAGGAGGAGGAGGAGGAGGAGGAGGAGGAGGAGGGAGGAGGAGGAGGAGGAGGATGGGGTCAGAGGAGCGCGCTCGAACCTTGCGCCCCCTGGGCTCCCGCCTCTGGTGGCGGGCGCCGCGGGGGAGCGCGGCGCGCCGCTGCCGCCGAGGGCGCCCCCGGCAGAGCGAGCGCGCCAGCTGCTGGCCGCGCTCGCTCGCGCGACCGCTGCCTCGAGCGTGCGCTCGGGCGCGCTCGGAGCGCTCCTCCTCCTCCGCTCCGATTCCTCCTCCTCCTCCTCCTCCTCCTCCTCCTCCTCCTCCTCCTCCTCCTCCTCCTCCTCCTCCTCCTCCTCCTCCTCCTCCTCCTCCTCCTCCTCCTCCTCCTCCTCCTCCTCCTCCCCTCCTCCTCCTCCTCCTCCTCCTCCTCCTCCTCCTCCTCCTCCTCCTCCTCCTCCTCTCCTCCTCTCCTCCTCCTCCTCCTCCTCCTCCTCCTCCTCCTCCTCCTCCTCCTCCTCCTCCTCCCCCTCCTCCCCGCTTCCTGGGCGGGCCGGCGCGGCGCGGCGCTGGCGCCCCACTCGGCAGCGGGCGCGCGCGCGCCGTGGCGGGTGGCCACGTCGCCCCAGACCCGCGCGCCCGAGGGCGACGGAGCCGCTGCTCTTCGGGCCACCGCAGGGTTCCCGCCTTTGACTACCTGCCAGACCACCCCAACCCAACCCGAAGACCCGAATTTCGGGTTGGAGGGGGTAAGGGTTCCACACATGTTATTTCGACGTTTCCCGACCCCCCCCCCACCGGAAATCGAGGATAAATCTGAGCCTTCGGGTTGGGTTGGGGTGGTTTGGTGGGTGAGGAGCCTTGGCCTGCCGCGGCAGAGTGCCTCAGGCGCGGGGCGCGGGACGGCGGGCACTGGGCAGAACAAGACGTGCGTTTAGAGCTCCTCGGAAAACCTGCCCTTGTACGTGGCGTCGATGTAAGGCTTGGTCTCGAGCTGCCCACAGCCTACAATGACGCAAGGCTTGGAAGGTGGCGTGCCGTGAAGCTCCTCGATTTTGCGGACGACCTTCATACCAGAGACAACGGTGCCGAAGACGACGTGTTTACCGTCCAAATGGGGGGTCGCAACAGTGGTGATGAAGAACTGGCTCCCGTTGGTGTCCTTGCCAGCGTTGGCCATAGAGAGAAGGCCAGGGCGCCGGTGCTTGAGCTTGAAGTTCTCGTCCGCGAACCTTTCGCCGTAGATGGAGATGCCGCCCGTCCCGTCGCCTTTGGTGAAGTCTCCTCCTTTTGTAAAATCCCGTCTTTTTGTTGTGTTTGTTTGTATGTTTCTCTCTCTCTCTCTCTCTCTGTCTCTCTTTTTGTGTTGTTATACACATATATATACAGATATACTTCGTTCCTTCAGAGTACACGTGCCTTTGAATATCTAACGAAGCAAACCACCAACAACCTAAAAGTTAGCGCGCATGGTAATACAGGCTCGCATGGCTCTCATTCAACACAGCGTTCAATCAGATGTGCAAGGCTGTGCTTCCAACTTATGTTAACAACATGTTAGCCAATGTGTAGGCCCAAATAGTGTGCTTCCAACAGTACACGCTGTGCAATCTAGACGGAGCCATCTATGTTGTGCAATTCACTTTGACCGTCTTGAAGCTGTCCTCTCCACGGCTCGTGCAAATACCCCACCCTCCCACCCGCAACTTGGTCGCAAGACCTCTTAAGACAAGACCGTGACGGTATGTACCAGATGGCACTTGGCCACGACACCGACGCCGATGACGACAGCGACAACGGCGACGACGGCGCCGCCACCGACGACGACGACACTGACGACGTCTCCAACGACTTCGACGACGACAGCGACCACGACGACGACGACACCGACGACGACGACGACGCCGACGACGACGACGATGACAACGACGACGACGACGACGACGCCGACGACGACGTCGCCGACGAAGACGAGGGAGGAAGGAAGACGACGACGACGAGGACAACGACGACGGCGACGACGACGACGACGGCGACGAAATAGGAGGGACGACGACGAGACGCCGACGACGGACGACGACGACGACGAAGAGGGAGGAGGAGGAAGGACGACCACGGCGACAACGACGACGGAAACGACCACGACGCCAACGAGGACGACGACAACGAGCACGAGGAAAGACAGAGGACGACGTAGGCGACGACGACGACGACGCGGGAGAAGGGAGGACGGCGACGACGACGACGACGACGCAAGAGCGCGCGCGCACGCTTTTGTTGAAAATCCGTGTTGCGAAACCTTGGGTTTTTGTATGTTGTTTGGACACACGATTTTGAAATGCTTCCGAAGCCGATGGGTTTTGAAGGATTTTAGCATACGCGTGCGACGACGCGCGCGTTTGCACTTCGGCCTGTTTATTGCAAAGGATTCTCGCGACGGCACACGCGCAAGGGCGTTCGACAGATTTCGACACGCGCGCGCGAAGCCCGTTTAATAGCATTCTGTGAAAATCCTGAAAAACCGATGGTTCCCTTAAGATTTCGCAAGAGCTCGCGCGAAAGCTTTTTTAGCAAATCAGTGTTGCGACACCATGTGTTTTTGTATGTTTTTTTGGAAACTCGATTGCGAAATCCTTCCGGCACCGAAGGTTTTTGAAGAATTTCGGCATGCGCGCGCGACGACGCGCGCGCGCACTTCGTCCCAAATTTTGCAAGAGATTCCTGAACAAGTGTTATGTTCGAACAAAAAAGGGAACCTGAGGGGGGGGAACCTGGTTGGCCTGGGACATTGCGATTTCATATTTAGGATGGACATGTGGTCAGAATCGTGTATGATTTACATACCCGAAAGGGGTAGCGATAACGCCTGGGGGGGGGTAGAGTCTTATTCTCTTTTTAGAAGAGAGAATCTGCGTGGTGGGCACCAGGCTGTGCAATATCTGATGTGCAACAGATGTTGTGCAACCTATGCGCTGCAAGTGTGTGGAGCACTTGGCTTCCCTGCGCCGCGCTCGACCACCTCCCATGCTCTTGAAAACATCCCACCCGCCCACTCCTCCTCCTCCTCCGTTCCTCCTCCTCCTCCTCCTCCCCACTCTCCTCCTCCTCCTCCTCCTCCTCCTCCTCCTCCTCCTCCTCCTCCTCCTCCTCCTCCTCCTCCCCGAGGCGATTGCGATGAGTGCTTGGCATTGGCTGGTGCATCTCTGCGGCCGCGCTAGTCCGCGGATGCTCGCGCAGCGGCCAGCTAGTTTGGCGCGACCGACGCGAACGCGGTGGCGCCGATGGCTTGGCACTTCCCAGCGGGCACTTCAGTGCGAGTCGGCGACTAGGGCGGGCGCGGTATCATGGCAACGTCGACAACGATTGATACGATGATGAGCGATGGTGACGATGTTGGCAACGACGACGGCAAGTCTAGTGACGGCACCGATGCTGATCGCGCCGACGACGGTGACGGCGCCTTCGCGTCGGTGATGCAGGTTTTGGGAGGAGTTCGCCGTGCGCGCGCGGCCGACGCGCGAGAATCCGCATGGCATTATCTGACACTGGTCGCGCTCCCCCTGCACGCGCTCAAGGGAATTCGAATGATTTCGGCATGCGGCGCGAGAGGCCTGTTTGGCAGAATCCCACGAAGATGTTGAAACACCGATGTTTGGCTTAAGAACTCGCAAAACGCGAGCGCACGCTTTTTAGACAACTGATGTTGCGAAACCATACGTTTTTTGCTTGACATTCGGTTTTGACGTCGTTGCGTCGTCGTCGTCGTCGTCGTCGTCGTCGCCGTCGTCGTCGTCGTCGTCGTCGTCGTCGTCGTCGTCGTCGTCGTCGTCGTCGTCGTCGTCGTCGTCGTCGTCGTCGTCTGTCTCTCCGCGCCGCCACGCTTGGCATCGCCACCCTGGGGCACGAAGCACCGGCGGCCTCGTGCGTTGGGGCGGTGCCATTCTAAGCCGCAGCGATGCTCGGCTCAAGTCAGAGAGAGGGTGCCCGAGCGGTCTTACTCCGTCCCTGCTCGCGTTCGTCCGTTTTGGGCTTACCACGCGTGTTCACTTTTGTCATATCGCGCTGGAGCCGAACATGGTGCTGCATCTCGCCCGAACCTCTTTTCGGGTCGGGCGAAAGGGGGGGATAGCAAAGGGGGGGTTTGAGAATCAGCTCACGTAGCTAATTTTCCCGGCGCCTCCCGGCGCCAGAGGCGGCTATGTATCGAGGAATGGACCCCTCGGCGAGGCCGAAAACAGCTGCATGCAGCAAATTTCGACCCCCCCCCTTTCCCCACACACCCCTTTCGCCCGGCCCGATCTTTCCGCACGTGGGCCGCGCTCCGTGGATCATGAGGCCCTTCATGACCCGGTGGAACTTGGAGCCCTGGTACCCGAAGCCCGCCTCGCCCGTGCAGAGCACGCGGAAATTCTCCGCCGTGTTGGGCACTTTGTTGCCGTAGAGGCCCATGACGATGCGGCCGGCCATCTCGCCGCCGATCGAGACGTCAAAAAAGACCTCGCTGGTGATCATGGGACCCCTCGCGGCCTCCTGGCCCTCCGCCGCGGCGTGGAGCACGAGCAGGTGGGCCACGGCAGCCCAGGCAGAGCACAGCCGGCAGAGCTCCACCATCGCGGCGCCGCTCCCTGTCCCAGCGCGCAGCCGGCACCGCCCGCGCGCGTCTCATGCGCAGGAAGCCTGTGCCTGAAGAGGGCTCGGGCCAAGCCCGCTCGAGGCTCCCTCGGCCCAGTTGGGGCCTGCCGGCGGCCTCGGGACTGCATCTGTGCACTTGCGCGAAGGGGGCCAAGAGCGGCAGGCGCCCAGGCTGGTGAGGGGAAGCTCTGGGGGCAACCGGCTCGGGGGATGAAAAATCGAGCTGGGATCGACGATGCATCGCCGACAGATCGGCGATGCGCCCCCGATAGCGAATCCACACGTTCCTGGGCGGGGTGGGGTGTCAGGTCCCTAACGGCGATCAGTGGGCGACTGGAGGCCGATGCACCCCCCCCCTGAGCGTATCCCCCCTGACGTTGCCTCTGAATTCAGGGGGGGGATTCCGCGCTCCAGCTTTTTTGTTGCGTGGGTCCGGGGATCTGGACGACTTCCAGCACTTTTCGTCCTTGGTCCTTTTTGAACTGTTCCCGGGCACGCTGGGAGGAGAGGAGGAGGAGGAGGAGGAGGAGGAGGAGGAGGAGGAGGAGGAGGGGGAGGAGGAGGAGGAGGAGGAGGAGGAGGAGGAGGAGGAGGAGAGAGGAGGAGGAGGAGGAGGAGGAGGAGGAGGGAGGAGGAGGAGGAGGAGGAGGAGGAGGAGGAGGAGGGAGGAGGAGGAGGAGGGGGGAAGAGGAGGAAGAGGAGGAGGAGGCGGAGGAGGAGGAGGAGAAGAGAAGGAACAGGAGGTTTTCTGGGGCATCGAGCAGGCAGTTGGCCTCCGCAGCGGGAGCGCCAGCGGGCCAGCCGCGTCGCAGGAGGAGGGAACAGGGAGGAAGCAGGGAGGAGGGAGCAGGAAGGCGGAGGAGGAGGAGAGGAGGAGGAGGAGGAGAAAAACGAGGAGGAGGACGAGGAGGAGGAGGAGGAGGAGGAGGAGGAGGAGGCGGAGGAGGAAAAGGAGGAGGAGGCGGGAGGAGGGGGCGAGGGAGGAGATAGAGGAGCAGGAGGAGGAGGAGGAGCAGAAGGACGAGGAGGAGGAGGAGGATGAGGAGGAGGAGGAGAAGGAGGAGAAGCGAGGAGGGGGGAGGAGGAAACAGGGAGCAGAGGGAGACTTTGGGGCCATCAAGCAGGCAGTTGGCCTCCGCAGCGGGAGCGCTGGCGGGCCAGCCGCGTCGCAGGAGGAGGGAGGGAACAGGGAGGAAAAGAGCAGGAAGGACGGAGCAGGAGGGGAGGAGGAGGAGGAGGAGGAGAGGAGGAGGAGGAGGAGGAGCAGGGAGTAGGAGGAGAGGAGGAGGAGGAGGAAACAGGGAGGAGGAGGAGGAGGAAGCAGGGAGGAGGAGGAGGAGGAGGAGGAGGAGGAGGAGGAGGAGGAGGAGGGGAAGGAGGAGGAGGAGGAGAAGGAGGAGGAGGAGGAGGAGGAGGAGGAGGAGGAGGGAGAGGAGGAGCGCCACTGTCAGAGATGAGGGGGAGAGGTCAACCAGTCAACAGCCTCATGATTCAAGCCGAGCGGCGGGAATTTGCCCGCAGCCTTGCGTGCACTAGTTGACGAGCATGTTCCTGCGATCTGCGTTGAACTCAATGACAATTGCGTGGATAACCACTCCGTGGCTAAGCAATGCTTCGGTGGACGTGCAATGCTTCGGTGGACGTGCACTTCCAGAAGCATGGCAGAATTATGTCTGAATGCTCAGAGCACCAATCGCCCAGGACAGGGAGGAGGGAGCGAAGAAGAGGAACAACAGCAGGGCAACACATTCTTATTCATGACCAAGATTTCGAGGCGAGTCCAGTGGTGGCGACGAGGGCTTCCCAAGAGGCCGACAAAGGGGAACCCGGGCGAAGGCACCAGTATGGGTACCCCTGATTTCGCACTAAGAGGGGGGGGTCTGATTTGGGGGGGCGGTCTGATTTGAGCTGTCTTGGAAGGCTCTGGGGGGTATGGGCAAAAGACCATCCTTTCATGGCTGTTCTGATGGGGGGTCTGAAGCTGCTTTCAAAAATCCGATATCGTGATTGTTTTGCCCAGGCCGGGCCAGATACTCACCCAGAGGGCGGACCGGTCGTCCTCGGCAGAAATCCAACCACGAGATTTTTAACCGCAGCAACTTTAACATGCTCTGTTGGAACTGGAATTACCGCGGCTGCTGGCACCATACTTGCCTCCAATTGGTTCTCGTAAAAAGGATTTAAATTCTACTCATTCCAATTACAAGACGATTATACCCTGTATTGCTATTTCTTGTCGCTACCTCCCTGTGTCAGGATTGGGTAATTTGCGCGCCTGCTGTTTCCTTAGATGTGGTAGCCGTTTCTCAGGCTCCCTCTCTGGAATCGAACCCTGATTCTCCGTTGCCCGTCATTGCCATGGGAGGCCAATACCCGACCGTCGGAAGCTGATAGGTCAGAAACTTGAGTGATACATCGCCAGCGAAGCTGTGCGATTCGTTCGGTTATTATGAATCACCACAGGGTCAGGCGGAGCCTGGGCTGGTTCTGTAACTGCTAAAACAGCCCTTCCTATACGCCGGGTTGGGGCGCATGTATTAGCTCTACAATTAACTAGCACAGTTATCCATGTGAATAATGACCATCAAATAATCTATAACTCTTTGAATGAACCATTCGCCGTTTCGCCGTATAACAGCTTATACTGAGACATGCATGGCTTCATCTTTGAGACAAGCATATGACTACTGGCAGGATCAACCAGGTTTGCACTCAACCACTGAGCCCTGGCACGCCGAAGCATGCCAGAGACAGCAGTCTTGCACTCAAACAGTCAACCAGATAATCCAGCAACGCGTGGCGACGAGCGCCAGCGCTGCAACTAATCAGAGCTTACTCTGCGACACTGACGCGCCAGGCATGAAGAGCCGCGCAAAGCAGCACTACGCCCCAATCGCCCAGGCCTCGTACGCATAACGTACGCTGTTCTTTGGAAGCTGACCCAATGGGTATCGGCATTCAACGAAGTCATTATTGGAAGCGCTGCTGGGGTGCCTTCCTCCGAGGACAGCCAAGACACCTTGCGTGCTGATTGCCCTGGGGCTCGGTTTGCTGTCAACGTCTTCCTTTCAACTCATCGGGGATGAGCTCTCAGAGGTCCCCCTGCAAAGGCCAGCGAGGCCCGCTCCAGACCCCTGCGGTGCCCCATTCCGCTCGGGGGTGGCGTTCGGCCCGCTTCGCGGTGAGTTTGTGCCCCCCTTGCCTTTCTGCTTGCGGGCCCGCGCTGGCCCGCGAGCGCGCGCGACCGGGCGTTTCGATGGGCGGCGCTCGTCGGCGCGGGTCGAGGCCGCAAGAACTGCGCGGCCCAACGCGCCGCCCGCAAACACCTCAGGCGACGCGCGCTGGCCGACCTTGCTGTCTCGGCCGTGGGCCGCCCGAGCGCGGGCCGTGGTTCTGCTTCGGCCACCTCAGCGCGGCCGCCGCTGCATCTCTGGCGGCGCCCCGGCGCGCGCGCTGCACGTTCTGATCGGCGCCGCCTTTGCGCGGCGCCGGCGTTGAACGGGCAGCTTTTGCGACAGCGACCGCGTTGCCAGGGCGTTCAGCTGCAGGGGTCGTTCGGCCGTCCGCGCCAGGGCGCCCAACTCCGCAAAAGAAAATGTCATGGCACGCAAACGCCAATATGTTTGTGGACCCTGCGGTGCCCCGAAGGCACTCCCAAAGCGCCCCGAAGGCGCCCCCAAAGTGCCTTCGGCGCTCGCGACCGTGCGCGGCGCAATCTGTTCGGCGCCGCCTTTGCGCAACACCAACATTAAACCGACAGTTCTTGCGGCGGCACCAGCGTTGCCAGGGTGTCCCGCTGCAGGGGTCATTCGGCCGTCCACGCCAGGGAGCCCAGCCCCGCAAAAGAGAATGCCTTGTCACGCAAACGCCGACATTTTTGTCGGGCACTGCGCCGCCCCGAAGGCACTTCCAAACTGCCTTCGACACGACGCGGGCGCGCCATGTCGCCCATGTCGCCCACGTCGCCCATGGCGCAAGCGTGCGCCGAGCAGCCTGTTCGGCGAAGCCTTTGCGCGGCGCCAACGTTGAACGGGCAATTTTTGCCACGGCAGTCGCGTTGCCAGAGCGCCCCGCCGCCGCAGGGGTCGTTCGGCCGTCCGCGCCAGGGCGCCCAGCCCCGCAAAAGAAAATGCCATGGCACGCAAACGCCGATATTTTTGTCGCGTTCTGCGCCGCCCCGAAGGCACTCCCAAAGTGCCTTTGGCGCGCGCGACCGTGCGCGGCGCAGTCTGTTCGGCGCCGCCCTTGCGCGGCACCAGCGTTGAACGGGCAGCTTTTGCGACGGCGACCGCGTTGCCAAGGCGCCCCGCTGCAAGGGTCGTTCGGCCGTCCGCGACAGGGCGCCCAGCTCCGCAAAAGAAAACGCCTTGTCACGCAAGCGCCGACATCTTTGTCGGGCACTGCGCCGCCCCGAAGGCACTTCCAAACTGCCTTCGACACGACGCGGGCGCCCATGTCGCCCATGTCGCCCACGTCGCCCATGGCGCAAGCGTGCTCCGAGCAGTCTGTTCGGCGCAGCCTTTGCGCGGCGCCAACGTTGAACGGCCAATTTTTGCTACGGCAGCCGCGCTGCCAGAGCGCCCCGCTGCAGGGGTCGTTCGGCCGTCCGCTCCAGGGCGCCCAGCCCCACAAAAGAAAATGCCCTGGCATGCAAATGCCGATTTGTTTATCGCGTTCTGCGCTGCCCCGAAGGCACTTCCAAAGTGCCTTCGGCGCACGCGACCGTGCGCGGCGCAATATGTTCGGGGCCTAGGCAGCGGAGTTCGCCGCCTCGCCGCTGAAGAACAAAAAGCTGTGTGTGAGGTGTGTATGTGGTGTGTGTGTATGTGCGAGGTGTGTGTGTGTGTGTGTCTGTGTGTGTGTGCGTGTGCGTGTGCGTGTGCGTGTGCGTGTGCGTGTGCGTGTGCGTGTGCGTGTGCGTGTGCGTGTGCGTGTGCGTGTGTGCGGTGTGTGTGCGTGTGCGTGTGCGTGTGCGTGTGCGTGTGTGTGTGTGTGTGTGTGTGTGTTGTGTGTGTGTGTGTGTGTGTGTGTGTGTGTGTGTGTGTGTGTGTGTGTGTGTGTGTGCGTGTGTGTGTGT